GCGTCAGCAACATGTGCACGCACACTTTCATGACAGACACAAAGCACTCCCGCCCTCTGTGTATGTGTTTTTATCGCCTCCAGGTGCTATGGAGGTCGAAGCTGTCGGCGACAACAATGACGGCATGAAGTCGCCTTTGTCGACGACTCCTCAGCCGCTCGGTACGCTGCCCTTATCGAACAACAACGAACGACTCAGTCAGGCACATGGCACCCATACCATGCGCACACATCACCCATGAATGGATATGTATCCGAGCAGGTGGTGTGGCTACTGGTTCGCCTTCGGGCGGCAACCATCAAGGCGCTGCGGCTGTAGCAGGTGCGTCGGAAGACGACAACCCACCCAACGGCATGCAGCTCGGTGAGCATCCTCGCACACACGCGAAGACATTCACACATCTCTCTCATTCTGATCCTTTCTGTGCGTCAGACGTTGTACCCGATAGACACACACACAAACGTAGACACGTGTGTGTATGCGATGCGAACTTGCAATGAATGGATCCATCAATCGATGACCGCATCATGCGCAACCATCAAGTCGTCCATCACAAACGACGAACCATTCATCAATCAGCATGCATGTGTCCGACACATACATACAAACCAACGTGACGACACACAGTGAGGGCACGCATACAGACCAATCTGATACGTCTCTCTCCTTGTGTCTCTGCTGCTGTCAGGCATTCTGTGAGCGGCCAAGTGGTCTGTGTTCATACAAGCCACGAGCGTCGCCACACTGGAGACAGACAGCCTTCTCGAGTGCCAGACCGCCGACTGCTGCACCGCCACCTACCACATATACAACGACGCCCTACCACATATACAGCGTCCGCCGGTTCTATCAGCTGTTGGACGAGTCGGGGGAGCACCGGTGGGTGAATGTTGATCAGGACGGAAGGCTGATCGATGGCCAAGGGAGGCCGATCGATGACCAAGGAATGCCGATCGAGCGGGCAGACAGCGGGGCTACGATGCATGTCAGTGCTCAGCCCAGCGAGGGAGGAGGGGAGAGAGGTGGCATGGATGGAGGGAATGATGGAGGAGACGAGCGAGTGGGCCACAGACTTCGTGAGACACGTGAGTGAGGTGGAGCGAGAGTTGAATGCCGAGCAGGCTATGGCAGAGGAGGATAGTGGTGAGCAGGTGAACGTAGATATCGATTGAGGCGTGTTGGTGTGGTGAGTGACTGTCTCTGCATGATTCATGTGTGTTTTTGAACATTCCATCACTCAATCTGTCGATTGCTCGTCGCATTCAATCACTCATTCGCGAGTGAATCACTCCTGCTTGTCTGTCTTGCCCAAGCAACGCACAAGCACTTGCTTCGCTCGCTTTCCTCGTCCTCGCCGCCGGCCTTTTTTTCCGGGCCAAGCTCGATGCCAGGCGAGTCAGGTGGTCTCGTGTGTCGTGCGTAGCGAGCAAGGCCGCCGTATAAAATGTGTCTCGAGGAAGTCGAGAAGCCCATTGCATCGCGCATCCATGGCGGCCTGCACCGCCTCGGACCTCGCCAACCCCAGCGTCGTCGTGTCGATCTGAGGGTGGGACGCACGCGAGAAGAACAAGAAGGAAGTGAGCGACGCACTCTCGTGCAGTACGCAGCCAGCCAGCTGGCTGCCACACCCCCCTCTGGTCATCGGGAGGTGTGGGGCCGGCTGGGACTATTGCAGTTGTGTCCTATGCCGTACCAGTGGCGTGCCGGGGTAGGCGATGGTGTTGCGCAAAAGGACATCACTGATGGCGGCGGCGGCAGACTCCAGGTAGCGACAGAACATGCTGTAAGGACAGAGGAGAGAGACATCCGCACACACAGACACACACAGGGCTTGTGTGGTCCTCGCAGCTGTCCAGTCGACTCACTTGGTGCTGGCGGGCTCGAGGCGCAGGACCTCCATCGTGTACCCGCGAGCGATAGCGAGGGCGTCTGCCTGCAGGTTTGTGACCGGGAGACGGTAGAAGGCCTCCTGCAGGTTGCCGTCAAAGAACAGGTCCTTCTCGCAGACAAACCGGCCCAGCATGAGAAGGACATAGTTGAGGAAGCGCCCCGTATTCATGGGTGCCACATGCGACATGACGACCATCGTATCCAGCCGCTGGCCGAACTTGCTGAAAGACCGCCGCACTCGACATAACGGTGGAAGAAGGCCGAGTCAGTGGCAGGATTCTTGGTGGCTTCAGGAAGGGCGTCACCACTGCACGTCCAGTGCTGCCAGGGGCTCGATGAGTCGTGAAGGACTGGATAGCTGCACCCCATCCTGGACAATCTGCGCTGGGAGCCGCTCGTGGGCGGTGATGGCCACATGCAGGTATCGTCGACGAATTTTCACCACATTCAGTGCGCCATCCAGCAGGGGGGAAGCCGCAACGTCCTCTTGGAGGCCTTGGTTGATTTGTGTCCTGGTCGACGAACTGATCGCGCACCACCTGCAGACGCCAGCAAACATTCAAAGAATGCCGTGACGGGCTCGACATCGTGCGACAGTGCAGCAGAGCCCACTTGACGTATTCCTCAATGTTGTTGATGAAGTGAATCTTTGGAGGGCGCACGTCGAAGAGTGTGACGGCATCATACCGCTTGTTCTGCACCCGGTCGACAATGTGGAATTGCTGGTTGTCAGTCAACTGCCGGTACGGAGGCAGGCGGGCGCGCATCGCGACGCCGGCGAGCTGGTTGGCTTGGACACCGGCGGGTGTTGGTCTCCTCCTGTATTCCTCTTCTCACTCTATCCTTTTCTCCCCAACCCCCAGCGACGAGACACTCTACGTGTATCAGGACGGCGAACAAGTCCCGGCAGATGCCCAGGTGTACCACACTCACTGCCCGTACGTCACCTGCAACGAACCATACATCGTCAAATACAAAATCGTCAAGGCGTAAGCTCTACACATACATACAGTCACGCACACGAGCACAATCACACATCCATCCCATTTCCTTCCTTCCTACCTTGTTCTCGCGGCGAGATAGAGAAGCTGCATTCCGTTCTGGATGAGCTGTGTACCAAGCATAGTC